CTTTAAGAGGCGCCTCATGTTAACTGAAGTCCCTTTCTAGTCATGACAGTAAGCTAGCTCTCCCAGGACCTATCTGGTTGCTGCAATACTGGTTGACTGCCATGTTCGAACAAAAGTTGGGGTACTTCGTCCCTGATGACATTCAACGCCTATCTCGGACCAGCAATAATGAAGGCCCAAGGTTGTCTTTTGCCACTCCTTCGACAAAACTTGATCGACTTGAATTTATGAAATTTATCAATCTGTTTGTTGAAACTAAAACTTTTGGTTTGGATCTAGCCTCTTTTGTAGGGAAATCGTGTGGTCTAAAATGTCTTAGGGACCCCTTTCCTGGTGTTTTGCAAAATATTGGTCGAACTAGTGCCACATGTAGGGCCTTCCTAACTCTTATTTTACTTTCTTGTCGACTCGATCTTGGGCCGCAGGATTATAACTTCATGAGTTACCAACCCAATTTGGTGGCTCGATAATTTGGCCTTAGTCAAATGTTGCCTCCTTCTTTATTCTCCCATCCTGGTGACATCGTATGGGTCAGTAGGCAACAGACTGCTGACGATCATCAAGCATGTCTTCGTCTTCATATGGCTACTCAGGCTCTTGACCTTCCCGTTTTCCCTTTCGAACACGCTTTTTATACTTTAGATTTATTCGACCAATGGTGGTCTCAATTTCAAGCACAAAACTTTTTAGTGTCAATTTTCCTTCAAAGACTTGCTGACGCCTCTAGAGTCTTGGACACTCCAAAGTCCATTCCTGCTCCGACGCCTGGAAAATGAAAACATTCTTCTCTTGGGAAGGTAAAGAAACAAGAAGTCGTCTTTTTTACTGACCCCATCCCACAGGCGCCTAATGTCGCGCCAGCAGTTTCAGAGGTGCCTCATTTCTTTCCTCATGTTCACTTTCTTAATTTTTTAAAACTTTTTCTTGGATAATTTATACTGTAAAATAGCTAACCGACTTAATATATAAATAAAATAATTTTCATATATATATAAGCATAAAAAAGAAACTACGATCACTTCTTACACAAATATTTCCAATGCCTAAAGCGTCTTGCATATGCTGATTTCCATGCTTTTGCATCGTTAGTACAATTATGTCTTCAACGCTCAATGACGGGAGGCATCGAGTAATCAGGTTTCAACTTCACCTGAACCAATGATTATCGTTGACAAACTCAACAATAATAATTATATGTCTACTCGTGTACATGGGTGGAGCTATGATAAGTGGAAAAGTGTGATGTTAAGTCTCATGGAAACGGAAACAAATATAATATCATATCAAGAATCGACATTCATTTTTCCCTACCCTGTATACCCAAGTGTTCTACTTGTAACACATTCCTAACTATAAGACAATGTCATAGAACAACTTAGAAAACAACTTAGTGTATTGATGGACTTGAGTATCTAACTGCTTCCGAACCAAAGGCCAAGAGTCTTCCTCCCATCCTAATATAGATGAAATACAACGGAAACCACAGTTTCCATCATTCTCAATATCAATAATGTCATCGATGTATGGATGAAAGAAAGCAGGAAATTGTGACAAGTACTCATCTCTTGAATATTTGGTAGAAGGTTTCCTACCAATCGACATAGTTGACGATTGACTTCTACTTGGTTTTTTCTATAATCTATTTGTAGTCTGACTCCCCTGCGAAGCGGAAACAAATTTCCACTAACTAAGATCACGATGCACATCACTCTCCTCACCCTTTTTACTCTTCTTGTTCCCCCTCTTTGGCTTGTACTTCATCAGCGGTGGACACATTAAAGTTTTGGATGAATATGTTAGATCACAAGATTTTTTCTTTAACGTCCTCTGCCTAAAATATTTAAAGTACTGAAATATCTCTTCAACTCTTCACACTCTTCTTCTAAATCCCACTTACTCTTATCATGACTGACATCATGTTCTTAAATGTGAAATTTCGTCCAAAATACATGAATTGTTTCCAAAGATATATGGACGCCTAAAATTTGGAAACCGATAAGCTGACACGCACAGGGTACCCACATGTTGTTCTAATGAAATAATCATACCTCTCCTGACTTGAACCAACAAATTTTACTCTTTATAGTTCATTTCCAATGATTTGTATATATCATCTTAAGACAAAATCGTGCAAGTTAGCATAAAATAGGGTGTTATATTGATGCTCAATGTTGACGATACTTTTTTTAAACGAAACTCTGATGGAACCTAGTTGCAACTTTAACATGGTGTTCACAACATCCCACCTTCGATATAAATCACCATGACTTGAAGTTAACATGTTTTTTAGTCTCTAATGTGCAGACTCCACCCTAAAAACCATAAATAGAATAACATGTTTCAAACTATTATTGAAACATAAACATGCATAATAATGACATCAAATTGTCACGATCCAAGTACATGTTTGTTGTTGTGTTTCCTAAATGAGTGAATCTGATAATCCATGCAACAACAAATCTCTCTTTATAAGGCGTTAATCATGTTTCATTCACATACTTAATAAATAATGGAATATCATCACAAAAACTTTCAAAGTCCTTGTAGTGTATATCAAACTCATATTTTGTATTTAAATACATGTTGTTGTTCCATTGATCCAAGACATATTCTTGTCTTTCTGATTTCACGTACTCTTTATATTTCATGATCATATTTTTTGAAATATGGAACGTACACCATAGATGAGTTGCATTTGGAAACACGGATTTCATGGTATTCATTAATGCAAGTTCTCAGTCCGTCACCACAACCTTCGATAGCAATTTCTCTGAACAGAACAACTCTTTGAGCTTTTCTAGTGCCCATGTGAAGTTCTTCTCCCTTTAATGTTCTAAATAGGCAAAGGCAACTGAAAACGTCAACGTCGTTGATGTAACACCAACAGTCTCCAGCAGTGATATCGGGTACCTGCACAATTAAAATGCACATAACCAACCAGCCCACTCTATATCTACAATATATTTTAGGTTGAGAGGAGTAAAGTTCTTACCTATTTGTCTTGTATGTGAAATAAAAAATTAACACCATATGAAACATATTCAACAATTTCACAGAATCATGATGTGTCTAGAAGATACAGCTACAATATCTGAATTCTCCCTATTTCTAGTTCAACACATGTATTTCTCTTGGTGAATAAGGCTCAATAACATTTGCATTTTTGTCATTGCATCCCTCTTGCCCAATCTGTATGTTGCTCTAGCTCCATATACTTGGGTAATACTTGTGAGATTTTCTGGATCTTCGTCTTTCAATGCATAAATGACGTACCTTGGTGTCATATTGTACTTCGTCATGTCATTCACAAACTTTCTTTCATGGTCTTTTAGACGGCTTAATATGCCATGACCTTCCAAATCCTTATCTAGTCTATGATTGTGCATCCCGCATCTAACCATCACCTTCCAACCGATACCAATTGGAATAAATCTCAGTCTAAACGGACATTTAACCTTCATAATATAGATGCCATCAGAAGTGTTCCCAGATTCATTTTCTTTTGTAATTTTGTCCTCTCTCACAATCCATAATTAATTTATCCTTCCTCCCTCGGATTCCATTAGCAAAATCGAAATGAATTGTAACAACAATAATACCATGCTTTTTACCAATAGACTGTGTCCATTCTAAAATTTCTGATCAGAATTTAAAAATTTGTCAATTACAACATAAAATTAGTAAACTTTATCAATTTCATTAATGTTGGAAAACAAATAAAAATATATAAATTAAATAGAAAACATATAGTATATGTGATGAAGAACTCCGTAAAATCTGTACATGAATCCGTAGAAGAAACTGAAGTTGTTGGCTTTGTACCACTACAGACATATCGGAAATTTCAGTTATGTGAAAAAAAAATCAGTATATCAAAAATTTCAAATTTGCAGTATTACGCTGTCTACCGGAATATTTAGAAATTTTTGGATAAGAGTGTCAGATTTAAATGGAGAGGTGTCATGTTAAAGCCTCAATAATATAAGTTTGTTTGGTGTGAGATATTGTCTTATCACTGGTTAGACATGGAAAATTAGAAGGAAAGACGAATTCTTTTGTGAACTCTAAATTTGAATTTAAAACAAAAGTAACATGTAAGCTGATCACAGTGAAACATTAAAATAACGAGGGACAAAAGACAGAATTGAGCATAGGATAAAATTTTGGGGTGTCAAAGTATTACAAGTATTAGTTTTGGTAATTCTGAGTACTTTGTTCAATTAGCTGCTCATATTTCAAAGCTATGATCAGTTGTTATGACATGCTCTTATTTCAAAGCTATGATTAGTTAGTTGCTTATAAAAAAAAAGTTAGCAATTAGTTTGATCAAGTTATTGCGACAAATAGAAGTTGGTTATAGTTAGTTAGGGAGTTTTTTAGATCGGTTGTAAATCCGAGTTTTTTTATTATTTATTTTTGGTTTTTACCATCAGTAAATCCAAGCTTTGGTTGAATGAAAAGATGAATCTGAAATTCAAGTAGTATATCTTACTTCAATTTGATATCAATATAGTTTACATTGAAAACTTAAATTGGACAAAAGGAAAACTATATTGGTAAAGATAGTGTGAAAATTGGTTTAGTTCACAGTTCTTATTCTAGTACAGCGGGTTTGATTCACATTTGAGGATAATAATTCATGAAACAAAAGCAAACATGGTCAATTGTTTCCACCTTAAATGGCACCCTTCATCAATACCTAAATAATTAGACAAATGAATGTTGAAACAGAACTCAGCATGACATACTACAGAGGAATAATCAAATACTAACAAGCATTCTCATTGATGGTGGTTCATTATCAACAACCACTAATGGTTAAATGTCATATATTACTAAAGATACAAAGCATAAATATATTTTTAAGTGCACTGAAATCTCTTACTCAACCTCCATTACACCACTGGCAATAAAGTTTTGCCTCAACAATTACCAACAGAAAATGAAGAACATGTCATCTACAATTCTTCATTTGATTTCCACATCTGTTTACTCGCTGTTTAAACTGCTTTATACACCAAGAATGATCCAGTGCCAGAGTAGCTACATGCTAATGCCTTACCAACCGAGGTTGGTAGAGAAAATGCTAGCTGAGCACGTTCAAGCTCTTCTGTGCAGAAACTTTTCCTGCCACAAATTTAGTGCAGAAAAAAAATGAATCAACTAGACAGAAATTGAACAAAGAATAATAAACCAATTAAGACTGCTTCAAAGATGTGATATTACATAAAACTATCCTCCATTGCTTGTGTACTAGTTGAATCTAATTGTTGTTATTGACTATCTTAAATCTATGTACTTTTCAGATAATGCAGGGTCCTATGGTTGCATCACGACAACTAAACCAAATTTTGTTGTTTACCTCACAGAATCCAGCAATTGACTAGCGATGCGTTTTCTCCTGTTGGAGGGAGTGACCCAAATGGCTCTAATGCCACAAACAGCAGCAACTGGTTTGTTTTCACAAGAGATCGCCCCACCATCCATCACCTCAGAATCACTCAGATTCACCACTCTTTTTCCAACTTCCCTTTGAAAAACAATATTCCCAAACTGGAGAGTGGTTGAACGCAGCTTCTTCTCCCTTTTCCTCGCGCTAGCTGAATGCCCGTCATCTGAGCCAGAAGCAACTCTAAAAGCTTCTTTGATTGGTTCTACAATCACGCACCCAACAATCCTCTGGAGAGAAATGAACAAATAAACCTGTATATGTACAACCATGCCAATCAATAATATATATAAAACAACCTAACATGAAAATTTCCACATATGTTAAAAACAGCATAGTTATTACAAGGAGTACTTTAAAAGATGGAATAGTAACAAATATTTATTGATTGGACAATTCCACCGGTGCTAGGCCACTGAGAGTCGCGAGGTCTATTTGGGTTTGTCTAGGTAAAGTAGAAGATTATCCACCTTACAGTGTTGACGAACTATCCATCCACTCCCCATCTCTATTTCCATCATCTTCACAACTTCTTGAACCTATCATAACAAACAATTTTACAAAAAAAACCATTCAACTTTTCAAATCCCAACAAATCATAAAAAATGAGATTAAACTCAAAAGCAATAAATAAATAAATAAATAGATAGATAAAAACCTTGTTTCTATGAGAAACTGGATCATTCTCCAACACGAGAATAACTCTACCAGTTTTATGAGAAGAAATAACCCTTTCATTATTCCAAGCCTAAAGAAAAAACAGAAGAAAAATGGAAAATTTGCAGAGGAATAAAATAAAAAGGGGAATTTAAAATTAGTTATTACTCTAAATTGGAGTCCTTGTGTATAACGTTTATGAAATTGGTGGTGTAATTTCTCGTCTTGGACGTCACCGGGAGTGAACTCGATACGACAAGTGGAACAAGCGCGGAGTAGGAAATCGGATTGACCTAATTCCAAATGGAACTGAGCGTAGCTTCTTTTCTTGTTCTTGACTGGTATTGGTTTTGGGATTACGGTTGGAGGTGAAGGAGTTGGATTTGGATTAGGATTAGGGTTTCGACGAGTTCGGGTGTAAGTGTTGATGATAGGGTGTTGTTGAGTGTTCTCCCAGTTCCAGTTGGATAAATCATTGTCGCCGCCGTCGGCCGGAGGAGGGGGATCGGACGGAGATTTGAAGAATTTGTTGATCTTAGATTGCATCTCAAATGACTTGCCGTTTCTCAAAGCTCAATACTTAACAACTTATTGCTACTCCCTCGAGTGGGTTTAATATTTTTTTTTTCAGCGGGAATTCCAAACAAATAAATACACACTTTCATAAAACGAATATGTTTCAAATAATTTTGTACAACTCTACTACAACAACCACCTGCTCAACATGGGCCAAAATATTGTAAGCATCTTCGACTCTATTGTGGGTATATCATTTATGCACTAGTTAATTCACTTAGATGCTTTTGATTATGACAATATTGTGAGGTGAAGTATTCATATAAAGTGATGATTAAGTTGTTATGCTTAAGACATCAAGATGTCAACGCCAATCTCTTAAGTATAATATTTAATGACGAGCGAAGTTTGATGGAATCTTTGATGATCTTCAGTAAAATAAATCTCTCTGGTGATGGTGTATATGAAGAAACTATAAAAGCCTCATCGGATAGAAAAAGTCAAGTACATATGAAGTGTTGAGAAAATGGAAAAGCTGATCTAATCTATGTCTGAGTGATGAGAGTCTTAAAAATATATTAGAGTAATTCTTAAATTACCAAGGTAATGCACACATTAATCTAAATGTGTTTTTACCAATGCATATTTGTTGTGATTAGAAGCCCAAATCTAGTTGGGTACTAGGTTATAAATAGAAGTATTGTAACATAGTTTTAAAAAAGGTTCAAGATGTAGAAGTCTAAGGCTTTGTCAAGGTGAACCACCTGGATTGTGGGATGATCACTATGTTCTCACTCAGAAGTTGTGAAGTAATGAGTTGAGTATTGTTCTTGGAGGAAGCTTTTAAGAAACACTAAGTATTGTTCTTAGTTAAGAGTCGTGGTTGAGTATAGAGGGAAGTTCAGCTTCCTGCTCATCATAGAAGTTTGTCTTCTCGACATAGAAGTGTGCTTCTCATCATGGAAATGTGCCTTCTGTTTTCTAAGTGTCTTAAAATTGTTTTGATTCGATTGCTGACTGTAATCGGTGAGGGATTGAGGAGGGCCTCATATCTAGATCAGTCTTAGATAAAAATCTAGTGAGGATAGTGATTAAGTGAGAAATTATAAACGAAGGAGTTTAGCTTCAAATTAATACTATTATTAGTGGACTTGTCTCTGGCTTGGTATGCTCCCAGAGTAGGTAGTTAGACCAAATTGGGCTAACAATTCTTGTGTACACTTTACTTTTCAGTATTGTTCTTAACTGTATTATCCTTGCCATGATGCTTGTAACAGACCAGATGTCTCGACGTCTTCATAGGAAATCTGGGTGTGCTATACCAGAGTTTCATTCTTATTTGATCCTATTATGATTGAGAGTCATATAATTTCCCTTATTTGGCGCAGTTGAGCCCTTTCTAAGACTTTGGTTTTTTCCTTGAAAGTTTTATAGGATATATTCTCTTTTAGAGTTAATTTTTTAGGAGAGGGGTCTTATCAAATATTAATAGGCTTGTTTGTCTTTTATGTGGGTTTACAACTGAGTCAGCTTCCCACCTTTTTGTTATTTGTGAGATATCATCCTCAGTGTGGTATAATGTTTTTAGATGGGTGAGGAGGCAGGTAGTTATCCACTGGGATCATATGGTTTTTTTTCCAGTTTTTTCTTTCTTTCGGAGATAAAGTTAAGTCAAGAGGCGACTACCTTATGATTTGGCATGTAGTCATTTGGTCTATTTGGAAAAATCGTAATGATGTAATCTTTAATGAAGTCATTGATCGCGACTTTGTGAGTCTTAAAGAATCTAGACCCCAAGTATACAGTCCTATCGCGTGTAGCTTTACAGATTATCGAATCCCAAGGGACTAAATGTTGAACTACCGTTATCTTAGGTTACTACATAAATCTAAGGCTAATAATGTAATTATTAGGGGGTTTAGGGAACCTAACTGATTATAATCTAGTTTAGATTCAAGGGAGAATATCGGTATGTAATGGTCAGACTTCGGGGATTTAGCAACTCATTGACCTAACTCAGATTAACAAAACAATTTTCAGTATAAAGTATTTGTTTGAAAACCCTCTTCTCACACTCTCGTGTTTAATGATTCAGATCCTACGATCAAACCTAAGTGAGTGCTCCCGCTGTTTCAATTAGAGTTTAAAAATAGTTTTTGGAAACAAACAAAACCTAATCAACTTAAAAGCGCTCTCGTTGTATTTTAAGTTGATGCACAATTACTATTGTCCAGTTATTATCTCAAACTCTCGTTTTATTGATCCTGACTTCTATCTGTATTTTACTCTCGTAACAAAACAGTTAATATTTAAAACTAGTAATTGAAACCAGCAAATTATTCTTTTTTAAAAGGAACTGATCAATTGGCGTTGCTAAACCCCGTTGGCTATATGACCTTACATACCGATAAATAAATTTAGCCTAGCATATTAAACGACTCAATAACAGCACAACATAAATAATTACCATCTAACAATTTAAATAAACTAAATATTTCAGACAATCCTAGCATAAATAAATAAAGTACTTAAATTAAACCTGAAAATATTATGGTAGAATATTTGTCTGATATCGGATGTCTCCCACAGATCGATAAAGAAAATAACGCGGAAAGAAAATAATGCGAAAAATATTCGGCAGAGTAATAGTAAAAACAGAGAAAAGAAAGTGTGTTTAAAAATGGGAACTTGATGTCCTATTTATAGGCTTGGAGATGCACAAGGAGTTGAGATATTTTCTCCTCCGGATTTGCCTCCGTGTAACGGTCGTTACACTCCTTCTTTTGAGGGAGGGCTGGCGTGGCAAGATGTAACGGTCGTTGCACCCCCTGCTTTTGAGGAAGGGCTAGCGTGGCAGGGTGTAACGGTCGTTACACCTGGGCTAAGGAATGTGTAACGGTCGTTACACCCCTTGAGCCTTGGGTGGATTGGGATAACGCTTGTTTATTCTTTGGACCTCCAAGGCTTTTTACTTCTAATGCACCCAATTTTGCCACACTTCCCTCAATTGCATATTTTCTCTTTCTTTGTGCGGATTTTAAATACGATTAGCTCGACTTTTCTTGAATTTCTTCGCACATGCCTTGCAAATATCAAATTCCTGAAAACATAGAAAATACCAGCATAATACGAATAAAGAGTAATTTAATTAATTAAAATGCGGATAAAATTCATGTAAATTGATCCAAATATTCAATACATTTCTGATTTATCAAACTCTCCTACACTTGAACCTTTGCTTGTCCTCAAGCAAATAATAGAGTAAAAAAAACGTTTAACGCACGGTTTCTGACACAATCGCGTGACACAACTCGAATCGTACGTGGTTGAGGGGCGTTACATTAGAAAGATGGAACTAGGTCCCGACACTAATGATACATAAATGACACAAAACCATAGGACATGGTCAAAATCCTCCACCTTATGCAAACTAGTACAAATTATGCTATCATAGCTCAACCTAATTCTTTTCGTTCAAAATCAATTGCTTTCATTCTAGCACAATCACATTAAGCCCTTTATATTTCGTACGCACATAGTAGAGTAGCTGGTTAGCGATTCTGGTCTTCTTATGCTCGGGTTTCTGGTACACAAGTTGGTAACCCTTTTTATTTTCCAGATTATAAGTCTCGGGGGATCGAACCGTAGTTCGCCCTACCAAGTTCAGCACCAAATACCACTGAACAGACTTACAACTGGTTGTTACATCGGTTTTTATAGGTATCGCGATTGTTGGATTAAATGACCTGGTGAGGGTCACCTAACTTAGTTAGCACATTCCCTATTATATCTTGATGCTTATCATTTTTTTTTTGCTTTTTAGAACCAGTCACTTATATTCATTGGCTCCCTACGTAGTTTGTGGATAAGACGGTGCTGACTGCTAGTATAAACTACTCGGGGTTGATCCAGAACTAAAACTTAAGGCTCCAGTATCATAAACTCAAACTAATTTGCATAATCTGGAAGATTTAGGTGTCAAGGCGGTATTATTTTTGTCGACTCTTTTTCAAAAAATCTAACGCAGCCTAATTGCGAACAACCTATATAATTTTTGAATGTACCGAGCTAATGCGTCGAGTAAGAAAAACTTTTTATGATTCAAGAAAAGTGTTGAAGTACGAATAACTTACGAAAATGATTTTTTATTTATTGAATGGAAAGGGAAATAACAGAAATTTAAATAACTTATTAGGAAAATGAAAAACATAACATAGGTTTCCTCCCCTACACTTAAACTGAGCATTATCCTCAATACGACAAATAAAGTGAGAAAACAAATAGCAGAAAGAGTCATGAGTGGAGCCAGAATGTGCATTGACTACAGAAAACTAAATAAAGCAACTCTAAAAGACCATTTCCCTCTACCTTTTATTGGCCAAATGCTTGAGCGATTGGCTAAGCATTTTTACTACTGCTATTTAAACGGTTATTCGGGATTCTTTCAAATTCCTATCCACCCTGATGACCAAGAAAAGACAATGTTCATGTGTCCTTATGGTACGTTTGCTTATCGGTGAATGTCGTTCAGACTATGTAATGCGCCTGCAACATTCCAAAGATGTATGATGTCCATCTTTGCCGATGTTATAGATGATATCATGGAAGTGTTCATGGATGACTTCTCTGTATGAGGGCAAAGTTTTGAAGGATGCTTGTCAAACCTGGAAAGGGTACTGGAAAGATGTGTACAGGTAAACCTGGTGTTGAACTGAGAGAAATACCATTTTATGGTAAAACAAGGAATTGTACTTGGACACATAGTTTCTAAAAAGGGGATCGAAGTAGACAAAGCTAAGATTGAAGTAATAGAAAGTCTCCAACCCCCAAAAATCGTAAGAGAAGTACGAAGTTTCTTAGGCCATGTCGGTTTCTACCGACGCTTCATAAAAGATTTCTCGAAAATTTCTAAACCTCTGACTAACCTCTTAATGAAAGAAGCTGAGTCCATCTTTGATGATGACTGCCTGAAGGAGCTTGAACAGTTAAAATCGGCTCTCATATCCGCACCTATCATACAACCACCTGAT